GTGTGATGTGCCCAGTGTGGGTACTCTGGGCACTCCAAGCCAGGACTGCTTTGCAAGTGGGGCACCGCTGAGAACTGTCTGTCCGGGGTGGGGGTCGGGACCCTTTAAGCACAGCCCTCGGCTAGCCTGAGACAGCAGCTCCACGCTCTAAGTCCTCCTCTGATGCCCTGCCGGCACTGCTTTCGGCCATCCTTAAGCCCAGTTCAGGGTCCACTTAATGTGGACATGCTAGTTCGAATTAGCAAAACGCTAATTCGAACTAGTTTTTAGTTCTAGACGCGTTAGTTCGAATTAGCTTAGTTCGAATTAACTAATTCGAACTAAGTTAGTTCGAATTAGCGCTGTAGTGTAGACGTACCCGGAGATAGGGAGTGGTGTGGGGGAAAGCCCCATCCCAGGGAGTTGTGCCACCCCACCCTCACACAGCCTTGCTGCTGTGGGGTGAGCAGCCTCATATGGGGTGGCTCCTGGGGTGTTTAAAGGGGAGTGGGTTTGGGAGGGGGTCGGGCACCTCCCTCTCTCATTCTCTGTTTTGTGTGTTTGTCCTCTTCTGCAGGTGGTGAAGGCCATCAACTCCATCCTGCTTCGAGGGTCATTCGCCTGGGAGACCAGGACCCAATCATGGCTGGATTTGCTGCCCTGAGGTTCCCAAACTGCACTGGAGCCATAGATAGGACCCACATCCCAATCCACGCATCAGAACATCAAGTGGCCCAGTACATTAATCAGAAGGGCTACTTCTCAATGGTGCTGCAGGCCCTGGTTGACCACTGTGGACACTTCACAGACATTTTTGACGGGTGGTCGGACAGGGCACATGATGCCCGCATATTCAGGAACATGAGCCTTTATGGCAAGCTGGAGGTGAGCACATTCTTCCCCTGCCATGAACTTGCCATTGGGGACATACAGATGCCACTGTGCATCATGGGGGATGTGGCTAATGAAGCTGAGAACCAATTTAATGCCCACCTCAGCCGGGCCTGAATCCAAGTTGAGTGTGCCTCTGGGTGTCTAAAGGCGTGATTCAGGTGCCTGCAGACCCACTTCGACATGGGAGAGCACAACATCCCGAGTTAGTCACGGCGTGTTGTGTCCTCCACAACATTGTGGAGAGAAAGGGGGAATCCTTCCTCCCAGGATTGGGGGCACATGCTGGCAGTGAGGAGTAAGCCTTCCAGCAGCTGCGATCCGCCAAGCTCATCAGGCCGGGGTGCGCATCCGGGAGGCCTTGAGGGAGAGGTTTTCTCAAGTACCTCAGTAACTCTCCCCAAGGCCTCCCCAACAGGGGCCTTTAGCTTGCTGCTGCATCCCTTTCCCACCACAACCCCTCCCTTTCTCCTTTCCCTGACCTCTCAGTAAAAACACCTGTTTGATTTTGAACAAAACGAAATCTGTAATTAAATTGAAAAAAGGTGTGCAGGGGAAGGGGGTGGATTACCTGGAGGGAAAGGGGGGTCATAACATGGGGGCAGCTAGATGTGCCATTTTGGGTGTGGGGACCTCATTGGAGTTGGGGTTGGGTGGGTCTGGGGAACATAGGGAGATGGGCAGGAGAGGGGCTGGAGTGGAGTCAGGAGAGCAGGGGGACAGGGGGG